TACCTTGAGATACCAGAAATGGAACCTTAATTAACCTTTGGTGCAGATGTCTTTTGTTTTGTTTTACTCCTGTTTACTCATAACCATCTAGCAGCATGCCTTAATCTGAGTTTGCACAACACCTGGCATATTCTACACCCACACAAACACCCCTCACATATTCTGAGTTGTAGCTTTATCCTTCCCTCTGTCTAAATTCTCCTGATGTTCTAGGGACGCTTGAAGGCATCCTTCCTGCCCCTTGGCCTGACTCCTTGTCTCTCTCTGCATATGCAGCGTGGATTTTCCTTCAGCTGCAAAAAAAATGAAAAGATGGGTTTTCCTGAGAAGAAGAGATGGAGTTTGGGGGCGGGGAGAGAGAACAGAGCGAGGGGTGGGGGTGAGAATGGATTTGGCTCACATTGACAACACGCACCAGCCCCTTCCGACACGCTTGCAACAATAAATGTGAGTCTTACTGCACTCTCCCACCAGCAGGGCCTCTCATTGTTTCTGCTTCCCTCAGAAGAAACCCAGAGGCTCTGTTGTTAATTCTCTGTGACGGAGGACCAAAGGGAGACGAGCAGGGAGGGTTGTGCCAAAGGAGGAGGGTGTGGCGGGTGAGGTGGGGCTGGCTCCCAGCTGCCTTTGCAAAACTGTTTACTCTTCTCCATCGATGTCTCCTCCACCACCACCATCACCCCTGCGGAGCCCATCTGCTTTCTCGGCTTCTTCCTCCTCTGCCATCGGCAGGCAGCTGGCCGGCGTCGTTCCAGCCCCCTCCATGCACAAACCCTTGGGGGACCCAAAAGAGAGAGGAGGAATTAACCCTAATGGGCAAGGGCAGCAGGCGTGGCAGCGAGAGGATGGAGAATATAGGCCAGAAATCCAGATTGCGCTGGATGATCTGCCTAGTGGGTGGCCGAGAGGCCTGGTTTAACTCCGATAAATGGCTTGTTGGGCTTCCTGCCTGGGCTACGGGTTCAGCGGTTGCCCCCTTGGGCTAGTCAGGCTATTGCTCAGAGCCTCTCTGTACATTTCAAAGAAGGGGTGGAAATCAGGTGCTTCTGTGTCTGTGGGTGTTGCTTTCTGAAGCCGGACATTCCAGTGTGGTTAAAATAAAATGGTGGTGATTTTACTGTTTTATATTTTTTTAGTCACAGGTAGGTATAATATATTATTATTATTATTATTATTATTATTATTATTATTATTATTATTATTATTATTATTGACATGGGTGGCGCTGTGGGTTAAACCACAGAGCCTACGACTTGCCGATTGGAAGGTCGGCGGTTCGAATCCCCGCGATGGAGTGAGCTCCCGTTGCTCAGTCCCTGCTCCTGCCAACCTAGCAGTTCGAAAGCACGTCAAAGTGTAAGTAGATAAATAGGCACCGCTCCGGTGGGAAGGTAAACGGTGTTTCCGTGCACTGCTCTGGTTTGCCAGAAGCGACTTAGTCATGCTGGCCACATGACCCAGAAGCTGTACACCGGCTCCCTCGGGCAATAAAGCAAGATGAGCACCGAAACCCCAGAGTCGGTCACGACTGGACCTAATGGTCAGCGGTCCCTTTACCTTTAGGTATAGTAATAATTTATTATTTGTACCCCGCCCATCTGGCTGGGTCTTCCCAGCCACTCTGGGCAGCTTCCAGCAAAGATTAAAAATACATTAAAATGTCACACATTAAAAACTTCCCTGAACAGGGCTGCCGTCAGATGTCTTCTAAATGTAAGGTAGTTGTTTATCTCTTTGACATCTGATGGGAGGGCGTTCCACAGGGCGGGTGCCACTACCGAGAAGGCCCTATGCTTGGTTCTCGCAATGAGGGAACCGCCAGAAGGCCCTCGGAGCTTTTTAGTCTTTGTTGGAAGCTGCCCAGAGTGGCTGGGGAAACCCAGCCAGATGGGTGGGGTACAAATAAATTATTATTATTATTATTATTATTATTATGTCCCCCCAACTCTGACACTTCAGGAGTTTAAAAGAAGGAAAGACTTTCCCGGCATAGAGAAAAGTTTGGGGGAAGCCTTCGCCTCCCTAGTGTATCAACTCTGCGGACAGCTACAGGATAACCAAGCAGCACTTACATTAATGCAATATACTTTGGGAGTCCCCCGCCCTTAAATTCTATTCTTCCAGAATATCCATCCACTGACAGATCAGAATGAAATGTCTCTTATTTCAGACTAGTCCAGTTGTCTGTTCTTTCTGACACTGCAGTCTAGAGCGAACCCTCAACTGCTGTGACCTGGCATCACTCTAGCAAAGCTCTGTGGCGTCTGACACCAAGCTGGGCGAAAGTCCAGGATTTATTTTTTTTACAAGACATGGGACTTTGGGGCAGTAAAGGTTTAACAAGGGCTGTATTTACTGGGTAGCAAGCAATCTGTTCCTTTGACACTCCACCACACTAGACACTCGGCTAGATTTATTTCATCTGGGTTCCTATTTATTTTATTTTTAAAGTGTTTACTGGCCTCTCTGTTCGGTTTTGCCCCACTTTGAGCGAAAATCTTATCTCAACAAGCAACAGTGATGGACTGCGGGAAACGACTCAGTTCCAGCCTATGGAAACCAGTATACAAACCTTCTCATGGTACTTCTGACTGGATTCTGGAGCTCAGAATTTCTTTTCTTTCTTTTTTAAAAAAATATCTAAATAGGATGTTGATCTCCCTTATTCCTGCTCAGGCTGTTTTCCTCTGCAGCCACATATTGTTGACTGTATCTGGCAACTGCTCTCTGGGGCCTCAGGCAAAAGTCTACCTGGTCCTTCTTAACTGGAGATGACAGGAATCGAACCCAGAGCCTTCTGCATAAAAGATGTACTGTTCTGAAGCCAAAGTCCCTCCCAACTGCTGAGGGCTGCTTACATCAACAGAACGAAGGACAAATTCCAAAAGGGTAACAAAATACAGTATAACCTGAATCAGCAGTAAGCAGATCAAGTTATAAACAATTACAGTCATACCTTGGTTGCTGAACGCCTTGGAACTCGTACGTTTCGGTTCCCAAATGATCGAAAACTGGAAGTGGGTTGAAATATACTCAGAGTTGAGTGTGGATTTCATGCTCTTTATTCAGCTCATAGTAGTGAAGAATGGAAGTTCCCCCGAAACGTCTGCTTTATATACGTTATTTACACAATGGGCTCCACATGATTGGCTAATTCTGGGATTCTCCTGTAGGCCAATCAGGTTGCGGATTCACTTCCACCTGGAGTTGGATTGGGTGGCTCCTGCGGACCAATCAGACTGCTGCATTCTGGATCCTATTGTTCTAGGACCAATCAGACTGCTGCATTCTGAATCCTATTCTTCTAGAACCAATCAGACTGCTGCATTTTGGATCCTATTCAACTCAGTACATAACATGAGTGTTCCAGTTTTCAAACGATTTTCAGAAGCCGAACATCCAGTGTGGCTTCTGTGGCTTCCGATTCACTGCAGGACGCTCCTGCAGCGAATCGGAAGCCGTGTCTTGGTTTTCAAACAGTCCTGGAAGTCAAACAGACTCCTCGAATACATTCTGTTCGAGAACCAAGGTATGACTGTACAAGTAAAAGATCCTAAAAGTGCCTGGCCAGAAAGAGAACAAGGACAGCACAGGGGAGAATTCCAAAGAGAGGTTGCTGCCATCCTTTGAACGTGGAAGTTATATAAAACTAGGCACAGGTGGAGAAATTGGGCTAGTCCTCTCTCTAGGAGGTCCCTTGAAGCTGAATGTGGAAGATTCAGGACAGACAAAACTTTGGAATTCACTCTGACAAGAAGCTGTGATGGTGGCTTTAAAAGAGGATGGAGGAGAGGTGCTGTGCTCTTTGTGGTGCTTAGTTAAACTTCTAAGAAGTTCCTCAGGAAACTTAGTTAATCCTACACCATGTGTGAACAATTTTTGGGAACTTGGAAGCTTGTTTCCACAGAAAAACTTGATGACTATATGAAAGAACTTGGCGTGGGCTTTGCCACCAGAAAGGTGGCTGGTGTTGCCAAGCCCAATGTGATCATCAGTTGCAACAGAGATGTTATAACCATCAAAACAGAGAGCAGTTTAAAGAACACTGAGATTTCCTTCAAACTGGGGGAACGGTTTGATGAGACCACAGCAGAAGACAGGAAAGTAAAGAGTATTGTAACATTAGACAATGGGTTGCTCAATCAGTTGCAGAAATGGGATGGCAAAGAGACTACAATAAAAAGAAAAATAGAAGATGGAAAGCTGGTTGTGGAGTGTGAAATGAACAACGTTATCTGCACCAGAGTGTATGAGAAAGCATGAAGATAGACTCCTTCCCCTGTGTAGTTAGTGGGGTACAGAAGCAGGAGAGTTAACCGGTTCGGGATGCAGAGCCCCACAAGGCAGCTGCTTTCTCCAAAGAACTGATATGTTATTGATAGAACCGTTCCAAAGAACCTGTATACAGTATTCAACCTAAAAGTATGGTGACTATTCAATAAAGTGCTTAATGATAACGTAAGAAAGAGGGGGGGGGGAGAGGATAGAGGAGAAGACTGTCAATAGCTTCTGGCCACGATGGCTACGCCTCTGAATGCCAGCTGATGGGAATCATAGAATTGTGAAGTTGCAAGGGACCCTGAGTATTTTCATTTTCATTTCACTTTTAATTTGTGCACTGCCTTGCTTACTATGCACAAGGCGGTTTGCAAGCTGAAGAAACAACAGAGATCGCACAGACCTGATAACAACCTGATCCGATACCAAAATGTCGTAATAAAAACATAACTTCAAAATAAACAACTTATTTCAAATAAAGTAGCATTCAATAATCCGTTAGGATATAATAGCACGCAATCCAATTCAATGTCGGCAAATGATAATGGAACAGAAATTCACTCTTTAACAATTACAATAAATAATTTCCAAGCTAGAATCAATAAAAATAACTGCAAGCCACAGTGCATAAAACAACCCAATACAAACTGAGAAGCAAAGACAAACAACGTATAAAATTGGGATCATCTAGTCCAACCCCCTGCATGGCAGGAAGATGCAGCTGCCCCTGACGGGAATCAAACCTGCAACCATGGCGTTATCAGCACCACGCTCTAACCAACTGAGCCACAAATCACAAGTAGGGAGAGCGCTGTTGCACGCAGGTCCTGCTGGTGGGCTTGCATCCACTCCAACATTCCTCCGATGAAAACAGGGACGTCCCATTCCATAATGATAATTTGATTATTTATTCCCAACACATCTTGCTGGGTTGCCTCAGCCACTTTAGGCAGCTTCCAACATATATAAAAACATAATAAAACATTTTATACTGTATTTGATGCTGCTTTTACAATTAAGTGTTTTAAATTTGTTGTTAGCTGCCCTGAGAGCCCAGTTTTCTGAACCGGGAAGGGTGGGGTATAAATAAATAAAAATTTATTTATTTAAACATTTTTTTAAAAAAAAACCTTCCCTATACAGGATTGCCTTCAGGTGGCTCAGGGGTCGGATAAATCCATACCCTCCAACATTTCTCCAATAGGGACCAAATCCGAAACTGGGACGGCACATATAAATCAGGGACATCCCTGGAAAATAGGAACGCCTGGCGGGTCTGGGCTTGGGCATCTTGTGTTCGTGTGCACTGAGAAAGTCACCACCTGCAGCAAATCTCTGATAGCAGAGGGAATTGGAGGAAGTTCACAGAAAAAGGAATCTAAGATGGGGACCCTTATCTCTTCACTCCTCCTTCGAGATAGCAGTGGAGGCCAGCTTGCATTTCCCTTCCCAAACCGGCAGGTGCATGGGTGAGAGAAACCTCAATTCCAGTCTCAGTGGCTGAGTGAAGAATCATTTCCCCTCTTTCAGGAGCTGACTTTGCAATAAGAATTGGGCTCCGCACCCCGCAATTAATTAAGGGAAAACAAACCACCTGCTGGGTAATTAAGTGCACATCTAGATTAACCCTGTGTTCAACAAAACCGAAGCAGTTGCTCTGCTGTTATGGGCAAACAGGCAGAAATTCAAAGGGCAAAGCTTTTTTTTTCTTCTGGCATTGTTGGGGTGGGAAGCCATACCTGCTGAATGTTTGCCTGTCTTGCATTTCTATGTTGGGATAAATTTGTACGGAATCCACCATGAATTAATTTAAATCTTTATAACACGCACGTTCGTAAAGTATATGGAGGCAGCTTGCAACACCTGAATGCAATGAAGTCAGTCCATAAATATCCATAAATCATAATTAGAAGCATCAATGGAACACCGATAGGTAGTGGTCGGTTAAAAATAGAAAATTCCTAACGTGAAGGCCTGTCCAAACTGTACAGTTTTGAGAAGATGTCTGAGAGAAGACAGGGATGGTTCCTGCTGAACCTCAGCTGGCAGGGAGTTCCACAGGACAGGACTGAACTGCCACGCTAAAAACTCAGTCCTTAGTGAAACTCGGCTATGTGGGGAACCACCAAAAGTGATCCACCAAGGAATTTCATTGATCAAGGTGAAGTATAAGGGATCTTAAGGTCAATGGAAGCAACATCTGAAGCAAAGTTTCAGTGAAAGTCTAGCAATTTGCCTACATTTTTTCTTCAAGGATAAGGAGAATGAGCTGGAAAACATCTGAGAAGGTCTGCAAGAGCCATTTGTTCCTGGAGCAAGGATTACATGGTTTTAAAGATCCCTTTTTCCGACACTTCAAACTGTCACAAAAGGCCCCCTTTTGTGTCTGAACTATTCCTAGGTGAATGGCCTCAAAAAAGGAAGAGATTTGCCAAGGACAAAAACTTCGGCAGCAGGAACACCCCTGTGGTCACCATTCACTGTCCTTTTACAGCCCTCCCAGCTTCGATCCAAACCGTCCTTTGTACTTGCTTCCCCCAAAGAAAGCTGAAAGGCAAAGATATTGGCTAGGCGGGTGGCGCTGCATTTTTGAAGTGCGGTTCTCTATCACTTCCCCTTCAACTCTCTTAAAAATGATGGTCTAGCATCAGATTCTGCTCCAGTCACCACAGCACTCTTTCCTGCTGGATACTGCAGATTTTTTGCACGGGCGATTTGCAAGACAGCAACTCAAACAGCCATGAAGTAAAGGGATTGCCAGCTTCCCCACTCCGCACACAAACATTTCCCTGAATTGTCCCACCCCTATGAAAAGCAGCAGAACATGGTCCCACGCGCGACAATTTTTGACACATTTTTGTGTGTGTTCTGACGGACGTCACAGACGTTGGCCAGTAGGCATCCTCTCAAACTAGCGCTGTGGCAAACATTTCTTCCATATTGGCTTCGCACCATTTTCCCAACGATCAACGAGAGGAAAAATTGCCTGAGAAAGTTATCAAAGGGGAGAGAAAATTTCAGTGGAATTTTCATGGCTGGGGGTCTTGTCATTTTGCATTCAGCTTACTTTCAATGTGGCTAAAATGTTTTGTGAGTGTCCTTCCTTTGTGAGTGTCCCTCTCATCCTTTCACCAGGGATGCCATCTAGTATGCACCTGAAAATTCTTCACTGTTATACAGGTGAAGGTTTTTTTACTTCTCAGGAAATGAGAAGGAAGGATTTAGCATAAAAAAATGAGATCAGCAAATGCAGCGATCTCAGGTGTTTGGTAACTGGCCTCTTGGCTTTCCTTGCTTCAGTTAAAATCCAGGTAAAATGTCCTGAGGAAACTCCTTCCATGAGACTTTTTCAAATCAGGACGTGTGGTCAGCCTGGGTGGTTACAAAGCACCGGACAAATGTTTAATGGAAAGGAAAACGCAAACACATCGTCCTCAGTCACCTGATAACAGTAAGTTCAAAACCCAGCAGTCTCTGAATTCTAAAGAGAATAAATAAGGCAGAAAAGCAGAAATATCTTTTGCAGGTGGGGGATGAAGGATAAATTATCAGGAAGAAATTGGAAGGGGCACAGAATTGGGCCCCTGATCATGGGTGCCCAGCGACATCGACAAATGTGACATCATGACGTCACATGACCATGTCACATGACATGACTCCCAGAAGTGGTCTGGAGGCCCTGCGAGGCCCATGACATTCTTCCGGGACTAAACTTAAAGGTCCCTTCCAGCTCATCTTGGCTCCCTGGCTGTGCTCCGCAGGAACAACACCTGCAGTTGATCACCTTGCTTCCTCCCTCGTCACCGCCAGGTCTGCAGGGAACCGCTTGATCATTTGGCCGGCATTTTGAGGATGGGACAGTGAGATCCAGGAAGAGCGGGGAAGCAACAGCCAGGCAGGGCAGCAGCACCGTGGAATTAGCAAGGAATTTATTCAGCCTGACCTCTCCATAAATATTTAGATATAATCATTATTACCGCGGAGTAAATTAAGTTATAAACAGCCTTCAGAACTGCACATGACAAATGTCTTTCGGTGTGCAGGAGCACTTCATTGCAAGTTAATGTGGGAAGGGAGAGGCGCAATCAATCAAGACCAAAAAAAAAAAGAGCGCCGTCTGATTATATCAGCCAATATAAACCTTCGCTCCAGCTGGACAGGAGATGCACACCCACCAACCAGGACTGACTGGGCGCATCCTAACAGAGCGGCAGATGGTAACACGGAAGTGTATATGACAAGGGAATAATGAACTAGAAGGAATGGGGAGCGGTGGCGTCGCCGGAGCTGTCGGCTATTTGTCTTCTTCTCGTCCCTTATTTATTTATTTGTGTCCAGGCAATCTTCCCACCCGGCGGATGAAAGTCCTTCTGTGGAATCCTGAGTGAGGAGAGGAAGGTGGACCCAATTCATCAGTGTTCGCTGGGTGGGATGGCTAACTTGCTTTCCTGTGACACGGAGGCGGGTGCTGCCACCCCACCTGATTCGTCACCTGCTCCTGCGGCCACCTTTACCAAGTCAGGTGAGCAGCTGTTGCTGGGTGCAGAGACCCAAACTTGCCTGCTGCCGGGAGTCTTTCAGATTTCAGGGACACCAGTGGCATATGGGCAGTGGACTAGCAGAACAAGGTGAGTCTCAGAAATGTTCCCCATGCGCCTCTATCTCAAAGCCCAGGAGGCTGGGAGGCTTTGAGGAGGGAGGCGCCATTGCAAATTTGCAGACTGTGGAACTCACTCCCACAAGAATTAGTGACGGCCTCTACCTTGAACAGTCCCCCCCCCACTCCAGATATGCCATTTAAAAAGAAGCCAACAAAGAAACTGCAGGGAAATAATTAAAAAGCAAAGGTGACGAAAAGTGAAGACCTTCCCTACGGCTGAATATTTATAGGGTGAGGATGTGGCCGTAATGTTTTCTTGCCCCTGATCTGTTGCCGGATAAGAACGACAGCTGCCTCTTCTCTCTCCTAGGCTGCCTCTGACGAAGGAACGGCCTCCCTCATTAAAGGCCTTGGCAAAAGCAAGGCTACGCAGTCGAAACACCAAGACCTCTGTAGGGTTTTTAGCTGTGTTTGAACAGGTTTTGCGAGCCTAAATCCACTTGTTTAGTTTGCCTCAGAGCTGCATTAATAATCACACCAACCCCATAAATTATTACAATTATGCGGAGATCTCTGTCACAGCTTCAGGAACAGGCTCCCAGCAGGCATTCAGATGGATTGGTCTCCATAAAATAGGAGCTGAAAGCAGACGCTTTGGGTTCCTTTCGCCTCCCAGTGAGCTCAGCTGAGGAGCTAGGCATAAAATGCAAACAAAAAACACACACACAAAAAAAAACCACACCCCACAACCTTTTGGCTCATGGAAAAAGCAAGGCTGTATCCATGATTTCATTAGACATGGCTAATACATGGGGCGTCCAAACTGGTATAACAAAATTTCACAGCATTTTAAAATTAAGTTTCTAGTCCATATGATCATGCTTGATATCGGACATCAAATACTAGAAGGAAGGTTAGGCAGCCTTACCCTCCTGTTTCATCCTATGATACCGTATTTTTCTGTGTATAAGACTCCCACATGTATAAGACGACCCCTATTTTTTTAACCTAAAATTAAGAAATTAAGTTGTTTAGGTTTTTAGGGGGGTGGGGGAGGTCACTTCCGCCAATTGCTCACCCGCCTGCCTGCCACTGCCCCTGCCGATTGCACACCTCGCCACCTCCGCCAATTGTCTGCCCTCTCGCTGCCACCTACAGCCCACCCGCCCACTTGCCAGAGCTGCCAATCGCCTGC